TGACTATATTTACATGCACACTACTTTTCTACTATTATTCCAAACATGACAATATTCTGAATTTTATACGGATCACGTAAACAGCATATTCAGTTTGGATATCCTAAATCAGGCCTTTTTTCCAAATATAGCATCTTCTGATTAAAACATGTAGCATACAGCACAATCGGCATCTCACTTGGGGTTTTTAATCGCACTTTGCAACACACTGCCTCTTGTCCGTATACAGTCAACTCTGTCTATTGTCATGGATACGTTGTACGAAACTCATCAACTGTTTGCGTGGCTGGGCTAGATAAAAGCCTTTCTGTTCGGACGACACACCTTCTTTTAACACAACCAACTTTGATACAGGTTTTGAATCTGCGCCAATATCGCCAACCTTTTTACGAAGCAGGATGAAGGAACGTAAGATGGAGGCAGTGTTTGCACATACAAACAGGTCCGTCAAAACTTTAAAAAAAAATCTGATATGATGCAAAGAAGCAAAATGGCACAAGCAACCCAGCCATTTCACTTCTCCATATTTTGAAGTGATACACGACATGTTAGAACACGTTAATCAGAGTATGAATGCATGTAAATGTGAAAATGAGTGGAATATTCATCTTCATTAGCCATGTAAACAGCTTGGTGGGAATACTGTATTCTTTGGAATAAGGGCAAAAAAAAACAGAGTGTTTTGTGCATGTAAAAGAAGTCGCTATTGCAGTTTCACTTCAATAGAAAGCCTTTTTTTGTCATTGTACAAAGAATATACAACAAGATTCGGAGTGCTACATCTAATCAGGTGCCAACTAGTCAATATACCAAGCAAGTAAAAAAAAAACAAAAGACTGCAAAATCATTCATAAAATCTGAAATATTTCGTGTAAATAATAGGCTATATCAAGCTGTACTTAATAAATAGAGTTTTTCTCTGTGAAGTAGTGAACTGCACTTGAAAAGCACTACGTTTACAGTGTAATCATTTAAATCCTTAAAACACTTCCACTAGGCATGACTACTACACACAATATGTGCCCATTTACAAAAACCAAAATGTCAAACTGGGGAAGATGCAGAAAGAAAGCAGCAACCATCCAAATGTGGAAAATGTCCTGACACAGTGTTACACAGGAAAATCTTTCTCGTTTCTATGAATCAGCTAAAAGCCACACAGCCCTTTTACACACAGTTTACATTAGCAATACAAATTGTCTAAAGTGTCCAGGAAAAGGCAACATCTTCTACGATTCTGACAGGAAATGCCTTAACGTTATTTTAATGCAGTGTGACCGCACATCAGCTCTGACGCCAACACAGCTTCCTCTGCAAGTCCTCTGCTGCTTTAAATCAGACACATCATACATGAGAGAGTCCTTGATTGTGTATATTCATAGTGAGAATATAACGCTTTTGTTCACATCATATGAACACTGAACACTAATGTCACTGCAGAGAGAACAAAGGAAAGTAGAAGGAAAGCAGATTCGGTGCTGACTGAGTCCGTTTGAGAGATCCATCATCTGTCATTATGAGGCAGTGCTGTTACTCTCATCCTCCAGCTCCTTATCTTTGACACTCATATCTATATGAGTGTCACACATTCTCCCCATCCTCGGGCCCCTGTGACAGCAGCAGCAGCAGCTGAGGAGGAAGAGGATTTAGAGAGGGAAGACGTGTGTGTGTGTGTATGTTTATGTTTAAAGCCACAGTTGGAGGTGGGGGGTCAGAGCACAGGTGTGTTTGTGGAGGGACGGAAATGGCTTGTTGCAGCAGGTTAAAACTGAAGCAGCTGCAGAACGAGTGAGGAGACATCCTAAATTCCCAAACCCCATTTTTAATCCTGTGTGTTGGGTCTTAATACTCCAATCAAGCAGCATAAGGGCACTCAATTGGATTAGAAAAATAACCTCCTATCAGACAGGCAGGCAGACAGGAGTGCGGTGGCCCAGCTGCTCTCACCTTGGAGAAGGTGACTGGGTTCTCACCCCATCAGGAGGTGACTGCTTCACCACTTCACTAACAGGAAGGAGGGTGGTGAAAACAGGGCTCTAAAGTGACATCTCGTCCCAGTAATTCCCCGAAATTAAGTGCAGGTAAATATTATCTGAACATAATTATAAATGGGCATCCCTGAAAGGTTTCCTCTTAGGGAACACGATGAAGACCAACTGAAAGAGCACAATCACATGACTTACTTCTTGCTCATTAATGTGGCCATGTCAAATGGGATGACAGAGGAGATACCCGCACACCAATGTAACTGGGCTAGAAAGCCACATGAAGGTCCACAAACTAAGAATAATGCAAAAATAGTCTATTTATTTAAGACATCAGTGCACAAAAAAGGTGCTCAAAGTGCAAAAACATGAGTAAAAACAGCAGCAAATGTGTCAGTCCTTGACTACGATCAGTGTGGGTATCTCCTCTGCCGTCCTTTCTTGTTTGCCTATATTACGGACGCACCCAAGATAAACTTTTTGTTGCCCCAAGTCGGCGCAGATTCACAGCAGCCCTAAGGCTTGTTTGTTATAAAGAATGGTATAAATGAGCAACCTACGACTCTCTCTCCAAGAATTTACTTTTCTTTTAATCAAAAAAGGGATCCCACAAACTATAATAACTGCATTTATCCACACGTCCTTTTCTACCACTGAAATGACTTTTTTCTGCAAGCACTACAAAGCCTCCAGGCGAATGTTGATATCCCACCATGCTTTGAGGAGGTAATAACTCACCGCACTCAGTGGGTACATACTGAACAATACAAACATTGTAATACCATCAGGGTTTAACATAAGGATAGCCCGATTGTCCAGGGCAAGTTAAATGCCATGTTGGGCTAGAACATTTAAAAGTATTAAATACATTGTTTTTTTCGGCAGCTGATGACGGAAGTAGCTAAGGAGTGAGTCATCGCTCTTCCTTTTCAATTCTGAAGAGAGTTGCACATGTGCAGTATCAATTAGCACATGCCAGAAAATGATGGCAGGTAAAATCAAAGTTTATGAGCTGAAAGCAGAGCGAGAATTTCAATTATCCTGGAAACAAGAGTTAAGTTGGGTGGTGTTAAAAAAGCCTGTGAGCGTCTAACGAATCCATCTCTGGAGAGAGGGAGGTGGAATTGTTGAGTTATTTTCGATATGCAAGAATGTTTATTTGCATCTATGACACACTGTGTCTTTGTTCTGATTACTTTAATTAAAAAAAGAGATTAAACATGTCAATTAACTTTAGTCTTTGCTGTTATTTGATAACTACTAATAAATAAAATAATTTGTAAAGAGGCAAGTAAAAATGGACTTTGGAAAAGAAGGTTTCTGACCCACCCAGGCAAGTGAAAATAAATAAATAAATAAATGACATTACAGCTGAACCCTGATTATAGCATGGGCTAAAAAACATAGCTACTTCGGTTCAAACCATGCAACTGCTAATCTGAAATGGTCACTTTTGAGATGTTTGGCAGAAGTATGAAAAGCACAAAATGGAGTCCCTTAAGTTGTTTCTATACCACCTGCATTTCCCATTTTTAATTAAAAAAGTAGCCATGATAAGATTGTATCTAATACACTGACAGGTATATGATTGAGGATATGTCTACAGTGAACAGTCTAAACTGTGGTAGGTTTTTTTGGTTTGTAGTTGGTATTATACAAAAAAACAAGCATCCTTTTAGATCATCAGTTTCAGGACACTTAGGTTGAACTCTGTGGGATGCACGGCTTATACAGGATTTCACTCATCTGACAAGCCAGGCCAGAGGTTCCCAAATCCTCACATCCTGCTCCCGAGTCTGAGAACACACATCAGCTGGCTCACATCAGCAGCATCAGCAGCAGCAGCAGCAGCAGCAGCAGCACCACAATCAGGCTGCCACACAGACTGACTGCCAAAGGGCAAACCCATTCAAGTCACAAAAGACATTCAGGTTCTAGCTTTAGCAAACAACTCTTCCGCTTTGAGCAGTAAAAGAACTAGTGGTGGCGACAAGATGTTGCCAGGGAGAAGCAGAGGGCACGGTCACTGGCAACAAAACAGTCTTCTTTGCTGTTGTGTTTACCTGCGCCGGACTTGGCTTTTTGTTGGATGTGCCCTTGCGAGGGCAGGGTGAAATGGCAGCCAGAACTGAGAGGGGAAAATACAGGTAAGCCACCACATTTTGGTTTCAGGGAGATTTCTTATGGCACCATATCAGAAGCCAAATACTTCCATTTTCAAATTGGGCCTGGGCCCCAGCCAGAAACACAAATTATTTAATTTGGGCCCTTGGTTGAAAAGCATTGCTGACACTGGATATTTCTACAGTGGCAAGCAACACAGTTCTGCCAGTCACTTAACATAAATGCTGGACCAGTGGGCTGAGAGCCCTCATCACTGATGAATACATGCCCTGGACTGAGTTTCTGTTACCATGGAAACGTGAGATTTAGGGGAACAGAGGAGATGTGCTTTTTTACAGTCATAAAAACACCCACCTGCACATAATAGTGTACAGTGAATTTTGAAGTGGCTCCACAGCCTTACAATGACAGCGACAACACCACTTTTATTTGTCCCCCCGAGTCAGGTTGGAACAAAACCACAGTCAAAATCATAAAAATAAATATTTTGGATAATGCAGCCCATTGAGTCTACACTGACACAGGGGTGTGCAATCATTGGGATGTGAAAAATGGCAGCATTCATATGAGTTGTTTGATTTGGAGGCTCTGGAAAAAGTTTCACAGTTTAAATCCCAAACACAAAAGATTTCTCTCCCATCGTGTCTGTTACCCCAAACCACACATCTTCTGCAGATTTCACCAAAAACTAAACACTGCGGATCAAAACCAACCTCATTAATATCCAAGAAAATCCTGCTTCTTCTAATACTTCAAATACAATGACAGCACGCTGCCAAAAAACAAGTTGCATGCATAATCCCCCTACCTAACTAACCTGCCTGGGTGAATCACTTGGTGCTTACTGTGGAGCAAAATTTCAGGACAAATGTGAAATTAAAATCCACTTACTGAGTGTCTTGATTGTGGAAACATCATGTCAATTCCTTGTTTGTTGCTTTCCTTCCCAAACACGACCAACTGAGTGCCCTGTGTTTATATTTTTCCTTGCGTTGGTCCTTTGTCCAAAGCTAGCCCTGCCTTACACAGGAGCTGTCCAGCGTTAGCAGGATGACTAGCTAACGGTAGCTAGCGACCCCCCTAAAAAATTAAGCCGAATACAAGTGATGCACTCAGCGAGGTAAAAGAGTCGGCGTCTCGTCTGGGTGATGCAAGACCATTCAAGCTGTACCTGTCCCGACCCCGTATTTACTGTGTCTGTGAACGGGAAACCACCATCAGTGGCTAAGCTAGCTAATTCTTCAAAAGCTGTCAGTCAAAATGATCCATCGCTGTTGCGAAGCCTTCCGCGTTAACGCACCAACGGCAGCGAAGCGAGCCCAACGCATGTAAATTAAAACCGTTGAGCACACAGCGGTGTTTGGGTTTAAGCTAGCGAGCAAGGGAGGGTAATGGTTTCCCCCTCTTCGCCGTGTGGTGGTCCTTTAACAGTTGGCTCGCCTCAGCCAGCTGCGACTACACTGATGAAAAAAAGTCAGAAGAGGAGGAGGACGAAAAAAACGGTCTAATTCTCAGAAATAACAAAATGTCTGCGGGTTCGTTTAAGTTGAATCCCGCTTCGTCCAACGGCTACAAATAAGTCGCGTGAGAGGAAAATCTGCGTTGTCGCCTAAACGGCAACTTCAGATTAAAAACCCCAAGCTGGAGTTAAACTCTGAACGTTTATCCGAGGAGTGGTGGGGGAACAGAGTGGATTTATCAGCAGTGGTGAAGCTAGAAAGTCAGTCCATTCCTGGAGCTGGTGGTGGTGGAGGTGGGTAGGCGCGACGCTGCCGAGCTCACCGCCCCACACAGAAGCACAGCGGATAGATGAGCGGTGAGCGGCGCGGTACCGCGCGGATCTACACGCCGCAGATCTACCTCATCATCACCCACCGGCTGATGTCTGAGCAACTAGCGCCTCACGTGGACAGGTCAGCACATAGTCCCACAGTCACAGAGGGGTGATGGGTCTATCAGAGCACTGTGTATGCAGAGCAGGGGTCAGGCCATTAAAGCAACTATGTGGTCTATGTCTCTTACTGTGCCTTCCATGTTTATAGTGTATTGTGGTTGTATGATGTTGTAAACTGTGTATTTTTTTTAACAGCATTTTACGTCTACATATAAAAGAGTTGAAAATTAACAATAGCTGTAAACTCTCTGTGCAACACATCAGTCCCATACCCATGGGGAGAAAAAAATATGTGTGCATGTGTGAGTGTGAGTTGGTATTTGAATCTTATTTACTCTATCTTAACCTGTCTTTTATGTGTATTTTCTCATTTGGTTATGTAAAGCACTTTGAGTTTCACTTCCTGTATGAACTGAGCTATACAAATAAAGTTATTATCATTATTTAGTTTGCAAGTTAGCAGTAATAATCAACACCCATACTTGAGTGCCATAAGTCTAGATTTCAGAGGCAAATGCAGGGGACACATCCCCCTCAATATTTGGACCATGTGCATTTGTCCCCCACAAAAAAACATTAACGTAGTAGAGGACTTTTATTTTGACATTTAAGATATTTACACCACTAATGGGTGGCTCAAAGTTTTCCGGTGGAGGACCTCCAAACCCCGTTGTTTCATGTGTGGTAAGGTGAGGTAAGGAAAGGTAAGGTAAGGTAAGGTAAGGTAACTTTAATGTCCCTGAAGGGCAATTTGAGATACAGACAGTACAATACCTAACACACAGACTCCAGTATCACACACACTGTCAGAGGTAAATCATGGACATGAGTGGTCACTGCTGGTTAAGATAAGCGATAACAGACGGGACAAAGGACGTTCTGTAACGCTTGGTGCTGCATTCAGGGAGGCAAAACCTCCACCCTGATGGAAGCATCTAAAACTCAACATGGAGGGGATGCTGAGAGTCTGAGACAACAGACCGAGCTGTAGAGGTGACCCTCTCTTCATACAGATGCTGCTACTTATTAAAAGTAACACCAGTGATCTCACAACACAACTTGAGCACTTATTCCAACTTGTTCTTGTTTTTAAGGCACAATTGTCCCATCTACATCGAAACGCCTCAGCTTCCCTAAAAAGAACAGCTGTTGGTTTGCCTTCTTATAGACGCTGTCAGTGTTCACATCGAAATTCAACTTGTCATAGAGGACTGTGCCCAAATACAGGCCAGGGCCACCTCTGGAAAACAATAACCTCACTGGTTTTAGACACATTAATGTGGAGGAAAGACAGGTCACACCAAATAACACATTCATCCAGTATGATCATATATGTGCCCCCCTGATGTTGAAATGAAACCTACGCCCTTGTGAGTCACATCCTTCTTTGGCATCAGCCAGGATGTTAAAATGACTGAGAACCCCACCCACTTAAAATGTTTGCTTAGCCAGTCTGTGAAATATTAATAGATAGATAAATAAAATCATAACATTATTCAATTGTTTAATTATATTTGCTCAACATTTTATTACCCTACACTACAGGCTAAATGTTTGTGACAAAGCATTCTCTGTGAGACACTTACTCCCTTTTATTTTGATTTATTGTTGTCACTTTTTAAGATCTTTACCATTAAAAAAAATCTGAATCAGGCTTAAAACACGTTATTTGGTTCAATTTATAGTTATAGTTTCCATGATGTTAAGTACATTTTTGTATGATGACCCTGCGTGTTTGGAGCTCTGTTGGTTGCCTCATGTTGTTCTGAAAACGCATATCAAATGCTGAGTGCCAAATCTCCTTTATAAAGGTGACATCTTTGAAACAAGGTTATTATAGTTAATTGAAATTAAATAGCTACGAAAATTAGGTGTTAAAAAACATGCGTTAACTGAAAAAAATAGATGTTTAGAAAGAAAAACTAACTAAACAATCTTGTGTACTGACACAACTAATTAAAGTAAGGTCACAATACACAGAAAATGTCTCTAGTTTGATGAAATTTGCCGACACAACAAACATGAGGAAGCTCTGATGCAAATGTTTAATGACACTGGGATGTCTGCTGCTGTTGTATAAACTATGTAACAGCTATTCCGCACATCTTAAATCTGGCCTCTGACACTAAAACTAATGCTGAAAGAAATAAAAACTAAACTACAACTAAACATTTTTAAACAATAAAAACTAAACTCAAACGCACAAACACTGTGGACGCTAACTGAAACTAAACTGGAACAAAAACAAAATAAAATTAAAAAGTAATTAAATACAGAACTATAATAAATCTGCTTTGTAATAATGATTACATTTTTTGTGTGTAATTCAAGTTGCTTCAGAGTTCTTTTCCAATAAACGTCTGCCTCACTCTGTCTCCCTGTAAGTTGTTTTTATGTCTGTGAAGACAACTTAAGTGATACTCACACTCACTTACCTGCAGGTCGAGCTCTGTGTCTTGCTCAGACCGTAGACAGTCACAACATCAGCTGTTACGGGGAGCAAAACCTGTATTTGTGCACGTTTTAGTCCATATAATACAAATTACACATGCAGACGGTGTGTATTACAGCTGCCAACTAAACAATTTTCAGAGCATGCTGTGTGTGTTTTTTATGGCAGATGGTAAATACTACTTTTCAGGAAGCCATTGACTTCAATGTCACAATGCTATAAAAACCAGCGTGAGGGGCTCTGGCACTACAAACGTCATGTCTGCTTTTTTTGTCAAAGTTCTGCTATTGTAGCATGATAATTGTCTAAACCCATTTGTGCCTGAGTTTGAGAATTAGTATGGACAATTTAATGCATCTTAAATACAATTTCTTCAAGACCCTATTGGTTTATATACAAGCTTCTATGTACTGTATTGTGTATGTGAGTCAGCCTTTATCTCAAAAAAGCTAGATCTGAGGATTTATAGATGTAAACAGACATGCTTCCTCAAAATGAATTGAAATCTATTGAGCCTACTGAAGAATGGCTGCTTAAATGCATGTTTTCACCTGCCGTAACACTAATTATAGTTCTGTGCAACTTTTATTTTTGTGGAATATATACATAGGAGTATCTTGTATGTGTGTACTGAAAATAATTAAAATCCCTACATGTTTATTGCTTATTCTAGGACATTTTTCTACCATTAAACATCTACGTAGTCCCATATGTCCAAAGACTAAATACAGTATGATAAGATAATGACTGTGTCTCAGAAACTACAAGAAGCACAATCTATTATTTGGTATCAGTTAACAAGTTCAACATCAAAGATGTGTACATAAATGTGATGTAAAAAGTTAAGATGGAAAACATTTAAAACACAATTTTTTCCTCTCTTTTATTTGCTTAAATCATTGAAATCAACAGGCCTATATTTGGGACAGGCCTTTAATTCTTTTCACACAAAACTATGAATCAGCAGAGATCAGGAAATACAATCAATTTTTTTTTATTTAAACCACTATGAATACTAATCGTTAAAAATTAGGCGGCCAGCACTGTGGGGTACAAAGCTTAGCACCGTTGCCTCACAGCAAGAGGTTACTGGTTTGGACCCAGGGGTGGGGGAGCCCCTCTGTGTGGAGTTTGCATGTTCTCCCCATGTCAGCGTGGGTTTTCTCCAGGTACTCCGGCTTCCTCCCACAGTCCAAAGACATGCAGGTTAACAGGTGACTCTAAATAGTCAATAGGTGTGAATGTGAGTGTGAATGGTTGTCTGTCTCTATGTGTCAGCCCTGTGATAGTCTGGTGACCTGTCCAGGGTGTACCCCGCCTCTCACCCAATGTCAGCTGGGATAGGCTCCAGCCACATCGCAAATATATCCATTATGAATCATTAATTTGATCTCGTTCCGACAGACAGAACATAGACAGAACAGAGAGTTACGACACTCGAGGATTACGGTACCCGGCATTACTGACAAAACACCACTTTATCCTGTTAAAATTATACCCACAACTTAGGTTTTTTTTTTTTTTTTTTTTTTACAAAAAAAAGGTTTTGATTCTTTTGACCTGAGGACCCTTATGAAGGAATATGAATAACTTACAGGGTATTTGAGGAATGTACACATAATTTGAGGTAGCCAACACCCCAGTTTTATACATCCAAAGAATGTCTATAAAAAAAGAACTGTTTTAGCAACTAGACCAGGCCGCTAATTGAGACAGGCCTTTATTTGTCAAAATTTGTAGCAACACTGGTCAAGTAAATGGGACTGGGCATTTAATTGGGACTAGGTTTTTAACTCAAATTTTACAGTAAGTACAGTCTTTGGGTACAGAGCTGTGCCTCAAAGATAGAGCCAATCCCCAGGTCCTGAGTAGCAGGTGGCACTTTGTATGGTAGCCTCAGCCACAAGTGTATGAATATGTGTGTGAATGAGTGAATGTGACTCGTAGTGTAAAAAGCGCTTTGAGTGGTTGGTTGGATGAATAGAAGGGCACTGTACAAATGCAGGTCCATTTACCATTTAATCTAAACATTGTATTGAAATAAATGGAAACCAGCAGCTTACTGCACAGTGGGGAAATGCATTAATAAATCAGTTAGTTATGGCAGTTATGTAAAGTGTACACACCTTATATTGAAGATGACAAGCAGTACGGTCCTTTAATCACTTTAAATAAGAAAGCAATCCCCACCCTCCGAAAGGAAATGTACAAGGATGCAATAAGAGAGTATAGGAACATATTTTATTCCAATTTAAAACATTTAAAGGAGAAGGCTATGAAAATCATTTCATGTTTGAATGAGGTTCAGGCAACAGTGGTTGAAATGAAACATACAAAAGAGAAATATGGCTAAAATACTGTAAATCAATAACCATTAGGACCCTTTTCATGAGGGCGTTGCATGAATACAGTATCTCACCCACCCACTCCCTCCCCAACCTGACAAACACATGCAATTAAAATGACATTTATCTTAAAAACAGCAGTTCATCATTAATCTTAAATATAGAATAAAATTGTCCTGTTTTAGTTAATTAATCACATACTTAAGTGTTTATTTGTTTTAAAAACTGGACCATGAAATTCACAGGCCCTCTGATTTTTCACAACATTGGCACTTGTTAAGAGTCTGGCTTTACAAAGAAAGGGGATTGGCACACTCATTGTACATAATTTACATTTGGTATACTTAAAAAAAAAGAAAAAAAAAATCAAAACAAAAATACATTACTTTCAATTTGTACACCACTACACAAAGTTTATTTTAACTGTTTTAAAAAAGTCTGTCATCTTAAGTGGTCCTAAATACATGTGTTAAGGTGTGTCAAACCTTACAAAAGAAACAAAATAAAAGATGCAAAGATAGCTTTTTAATATCACTGTGTGTCCATCCCTCTAATCAGAATGGATCTCAAGCATATAAGCAATAAGCCGTCAAAAAGTGTACACATACATACACACACGCATACGCACACACCTCAGAGTACCAACGAGCACGCTTGAACGGACATCTAAGTTGCATGAATGCAGGCCCATTGCAGTGGTGCAGTTTCAGTGCCTTCGACCCAGGGAAAGAATACACAGTCCAATCAAGTACGGGAGAAGAGAGTGGAGAATGGCAGACATGTAAACTCACAGCATTCACTCACTCGCGATTGGAACCACCAAAATATTATAATTACTGTTTTAGTACCTTCACTTGGCAAGTCTTTTAATAAATACATTAATACTGAGGCTTCAAACACAAGCTTCATTCGGAAATAAAGACACCGTCATGTTAAAGTGGATGAACAACACCAGAGCTCTGGATCAGGTGACGACAAATTGGGAATTTTCGTATCTTTTCTGTGGCTGATCTGATTTTGTTTGGCACAGTGTTTTGTACTGGATTGTCGTACAAACCTTCTCCACAATGCATTCTACGCAGAATAAAGCAAATACAGTACAAGTCAATGGAAAGGGCTTTAAAGAAACGACCCAGCCCTGCTGCTGGCTCTGATCACTGGTAGTGTAACCATGTGACTTGGTCTGTGTTGGGACTAGCCATGCAAGGCATGAGGAGCTCGTATAGTGAAAGCTGATCCAACGTAAGTGTTTAAAGTGTACAACGTCATGCCAACACTGGTCCCTGTAGTGGTCACCTTCTTTTGTTTATCACAGTCAAGTTAATTTGCCTAGTGTACACCAATCAGCCAAAACATTAAAACCACTGACAGGTGAAGTGAATGACATCGATCGTTTCATTACAATGCAATGTTGTGCAGGAAAACCTTTGGTCCTCGCATTCACGTGGATGACCCTTTACGCACCCCACCCACCTAAACATTGTTATAGACAAAGTACCCCCACTGATTCCATCAGTACCCCCAATGACAGTAGCCCCCCAGCAAGGCAGTGCACCATGCCACACTGCGAAAACTGCTCAGGAATGGCCTAAGGAACATGGCAAAGAGCTTCAGGCAAATTCCCCAGACCCCAATCTGATCAAGCATCAGTGGGACAAACCGGTGCCCCGGAGGTTCTTTGTTCAGGCCTAAATGAGTCAGAACCAAGTCCAACCTATGATGAAGCCTCTGACCTGTCAAGGCATGGAGACAGGACCTCTGGGGGTGTCCTGTGTTGTCTGGCACCAAGGCCTTGTCGTTCGACCCTTTGAGTCCTGTGGGTTGCAAGGTAAGGTACCAGCATGCCCAATGGATGTTCAATCGGATTGGGATCTGGGGAATTTGGAGGCCAGGTTGATGTCTTGAGCTTAGTCACGTCTGCCGAGCCATTCCTAAGCACTTTTTGTGGTGTGGCATGGTGCATTGTCTTGCTGGGAGGGTGCACTGCCATCAAAGAGTGCCGTTGCCATGAGGGGGTGTACTGGTATGTAATGGTGTTTGGGTGGGTGCATCCACATGAATGCCAGAACCCAAGGTTCCTCAGAAAAACACTGCACCGGCCAGTGGTTTTAATCTTTTGGCTGATCGGTGTATAAGACCCCCACACACCTGCCGTTCAGGTGGGGAGCCACAGATCAGGGGAATGGAGCGTACTTCCTGAAAGCCAAGCTGAGGATTTTTAAAAGCACACAAAGACGTCACTGTTATCCCAGCAGCAAAGCAGAACACAACACTACTCTCCAAGCTCAGGAAAAGTCTGTCAACTAGTCGATTCAAAAATACATAAGCTCTTAATTTCAAACTGAAGAACGAGCTGAATTGTGACACTCGCAAAATCAAAGTCTGTAAGCAAGCGAGTGTGAAAAGCATCACCGTGTATACGGGATAAAGTGGTCAAGAAAAGGCCTTTAAATGTTGGCTGAAGCACCAAAGATTAATCCACAAGAAATACACGCTGGAAAAAACAAGATCTCAGCCGAAATAACTTCAGAGCTTTGCAACATCTCTACAGAAAATTATGGCACTTAGCATAAATATACATATCCCTTCTTTAAGTGTCTCAGGATGCATAAAGGCTTAATGTACAAGATAATGGCTTTATCAACATGGCGTACAGAAAGACTCTCACTGGGTGCATGTGACTGAAATCAAGGCTAAGAATACACAGGGTGAGTGGATTCCCCTTAAACTCAGCACATCGTACTGCTTTTCTGTAGAAAAAAAGATTTTTTTTAACTGGAAACTTTCTGGCAAACAATTAAAGATACACAGAAAGAGTTCGGCAGGACCTCTAATAATTTCTTTGATGTGTAATCTGACCCATGAAAAGGTCAAACTGTCCCAAGCATTCCTCTTTTTCCTGACTCAAACACAGCCAATGCCAAACATGGAAACACTACCAATGAGAAGATAAGCCAAATATGCAAAAACCACATAGTGGGAAATATCACAAAGCCAAGAAGATCAGCAAATAATCCATAAGAGTAAGAGGATGGTTAGATTAGCGACAGCCAGGACACTAAATATGTGCTATTGCACCTCGGGAACTTCTTTTGACGTTAGCCATTCTCCTCCTCCAAAAGGCAAAAAGATAATGAACAAAGAGCCAAACAGCCACCAGACTTCCCTCGGGAATGTCGTGTAGGCATCTGTGGACTGCTGCATTCCTCCCTCACTGAACCTGCGGCCATCACCCTCAACACGATGTCAACACACTCCTGATTCATACCCCCCTCCCCTCCCCCTCCACACTCGTTAATTAATTGCACCTTTTGCTCTATGCTGTCCATAGAGTCCTTTCATTTCTACCAAAGCTGCTAGTAGTAGCCCTTGTGATGAAAAAGTTATGAAAACTTACCTGAATTACATTGTGAAGACAAAAATAGCCATCTATCAACGTTCAGCTTAATGGAATATTTAAACAACTATCAGGCAAGAGACATGATATGGGATTGGTACCAATAGCCAACACATATCCTCAAAAATTACAAAAAAAAAAAAAAAAAAAAAGCAAGCATCCTTGAACAGTAAATATTCAACCACTAAGTTTTTTGTCTGTTTTCATTTTCCTATTTGCATAAAGCACAAACCCGACATGGAAACAGTGTTTTTTTTTCCCATTGTCAAGCGTTTCAAAACAGAACTGCAACAACTAAATATATGAAGTATCATTAGAAAGATAGAACACTTGTCCATAAAATAGTTTTGATATTTTACAGCAGTATAAAATCTCCTCCCGTCTCCTCGGTTGGAAAAACTGTGAGCTGAAACTAGGGAGGAAGTCTCATTTACTGTATCGACAACACATAGATCTGATTGATAAATTAGACATACAAAAAAAGAACTCTTAACTCTCACTATCCGTTAGAGTTTATCAAATGTCGGCCGAGTAATATGGCAAAACAAGAGTTGATTACGGAGAGAAGCCATATGGGTGATCGAGACCAACTTGTGACTTGTTAAGCTAACTGGCAGCGCAAAAACTGTTCATCTGTTTCATCTACAACTGACTATTGCACCGTACTAACCTGGTATCATCATGTCTGCACAGGAAGATTATTCTCACCATCGAAGGGAACAAATAAATCACAGTACGAATAATACATGTGTGATTTAGACGATAGTCGACATAAAAAAATGCCACACAAAGTGAGTCATTATGCCATCAACATCTGAATGATCCACTTAATTAATTAAGCACTTAATTTTGGCAATTTCCAAACATGTTTTGTTAGTATCTGAACCACTTAAGGGATGAGCAGGATACTGGCAACATAATTATATTTACAGAAACAAACGTAGGTGGTTTTAATTTGGCAACGGGGAGCTGATATACAGTATGTAAATACCGCTAGTGTTGTCTCTTAATTCTGTTTCGTAACGTATGTTAACACTTTAAAATGAGGGGCAGTGTAAAAGGAGTGTTCCTTTAAGTAGTCATCTTCAATTTTAATTGTAGAACAATAGCAGTAATAAGAATAAAACCAAGAAGTTAACATAGCTGAGAATATTTAAAGTCTGCAGAGAGTCGTCTCTGTGTAGCCCTCACTCTGTGTGAGCAGCATGAAAACTTTATTTACATTCAACAGAGCCTCTGTGCTCTGATTTGGGGCCGGGTTGACAAAAAAAAAAAAATCAAATACACAATTCAAGACCCAGGGGGAACCAAGTACCTCACTGCACCCCAGCACTGCCTGATAATATATTCCTATCATCATAATTAGTTACCCTTTGCAGAGGAGCAGAGTCCAGGGTCTGCAGCCTGGCCGTGTGCCCTCGTGCTGTAGTGTGTAGCATGCATGGGTTAAATAAGAAGAAGGGGAGAGAGCCCTTTGTCCATCAAAGCTTAGTCTACCCAGAGAAGGCCCTCTACCCACCTCCAACACACAAGCACTGGTGATAATGTAGTGTAAAGAAAGTTAAAAAATGTGAGCCGCGCCGAGGGGCCGAGAGGAGCCTCAGAGCAGACCGTAAAACCCAAGAGAGGGGGACGAATGGAGGGAGTGTTATATTTGTGTGTGTACACGAGGAGCGATTATTAGAGCCACGAAACAGATAACCATTGTTTTAAAACAACCAAAGAGCTGAGTGGAGAGGGGGGACAGGACGTGGATAGTGTTGGTCTGGTAAAGTATGAAGCAATGCTAAACTCATCGAGCAGCAGCGTGTTTCATGCACGTGTGTGTTTCTAGAAGTGGACTCTGCATTGTGTGTATGTATGTGTGGGTGTGTTTGTATGTGTGTGTGAGTGTGTAGGGGGGGCTGCAGGTCTCTCTCTCGCTCCCTCTTTCTCTCTGTTTCCATTTCTCTTCTCACACCAGGTTGTATTCTTTGAGGTTGAGCTGCAGGATGGTGTCTTTGACGGCGGCAAAGACGAAACGGATGTTCTCCGTGTCGGTGGCGCATGTGAAATGGGAGTAGATGATCTTGTCACTGTCTGGGTTCAAGTCCACAAACATCTTCAAGATGAACTCGCGGCCCGCTTGGGCGTCCCGCTGGGGCCCTGGAAGATGAACAGACCATCTATTAGGCATCATACTAGCATGATTTAAAAAGGAACTTCGGTATTTTTCAACATGGACTCACCACATTTTTGTGTGTAAGTGACTGATGGAGACAAGGATTTTTGAAATAGGTCCAGTATAGAGAGAGACTGCAAAACAGGCTGCAATGTAATCTCTTCAGGCAACTGTGCATTGTCAGTTTACGTCCACTAACAGTGCTTGCAGGCTCAGATTGTTATTATCAGTGTCTTTGACCACATTATGGCAATGTCCTACCTGTTGCTTAATCCAGATTGTCAATGTATGTAACTAAGGGTGCTTTCAGACCTAGAGTTGTCTTGCTTAGGTCTGAATCAGGGACTAATTTTGTCACAAAATTGTATAATTGCCTAGAGTTGGTTCGTGTTCTCACGGCAGCATTTACAAGTGGACCAGATAAAATGCCTTGAACAAGAAAGCTGCTCTTGATTGGTCAGAATTTCCATGTGGGAAAAATCCAGGAAGTAAACCAAACCACTGAAGAAGAGTACACTTGCAAGATAAATGTGACACTTTCTAATGTCACAATGGAGGGACAACTACGCAGGTTGATTTTAGCGCTGCTCATCGTGGACTATATTGCTGTCATTGTTCATTTTAGTCAAAACATACAGTTTGAAAACGAGGCGCGGCTCCAACTAGAAAACAATGTTTTGATGCATTGGATGTGCTGAATGTGCATATTAAGGCAGTACAGGAGGAAGTGCACATTAATAATCCTCCAGGACTGTAACATGCTCATGTTTAACCCAAACAATGTGTAATTAGACCGCACTTAGTTCGGATCGAGGTCAGAACACGTTCACCACAAACGAACTGCACCAGAGTTCGTTTGTAACCGGACCAAGACCTTCTGTTTTGGTGCACACCCAAGTGTGATTGCTGTGTTCGCACCTGCCCAAAAGGACCACACTTAGGGGGCAAAGTAACTTGAGTCTCCCTGAACCAAACCAAACAGGCCAGGTGTGAAAGCACCCCAAGTCTCACAAAAATAAGTCTCTTTCTAAAATCTTGTGGACTTTTCCACATTGTCAAAATCAGCTAAATATTTAGAGATGCAGGCTTTGAAATTAGCAGCAGCCACCAGCCAACATGCAAGTGGCTGCTAGATTTGCTTCACTCTCCAGCCAAAAAAACAGTGGCTATCTAGTGAGTGGTTGGTAGATAATGGACTCTAATGAATCTCTTAGGTAACATTAGGCTATGCTTTCTGTTCTTCAACTCAACAAACACTTCTCAGCACTCCTCTCTTTAACGTTCACTAATGTTGTCACTGTTGTTTTTAGACTACAACAGGTCACCTGTCGCGAGAGTTCAGAACGAGACTTGGTCACAATAACAAAGAGACCAGTGAAAGGTGAGGAAAAGTGTTTCATTTCTCTGTATGGTCCATTTCATAATGTTGTCAAACAATTCTAAGAACAATCTGAGCCTGCCAGTGGCAAAGCAAGCACTTTTAGTGGGCGTAAATTGACAGTGCGCAATTGTCCCAGCCTGTTTCACTGCAGCGACACTCTCAATACTGGACCAGTTTCAAAAATTGTTGCCTCCATTGGTAACTTAGACAGAAAAAAAACATGTTTCCTTTTGACCTTTGTTGTTCTTTTGTGCCGTTTTAAAATATGAGCATCCTTTATCAATTAATAGAAAAAAAAGATGAGGAGAAAAAAATTACATGTTCCTACTCTGTGACTTTTAACTGTTATGTTCAGTCAAGTATCAGTTTGCAGTGTAGCGGAGCATTATCACCATAAGGTGTCACTATACAATCAAAAATATAGGGGACAACTTTCCAGCCTGGGTGAAGTTATAGAGCACAAGTGACAAAAAAAATGTGTTACACTAGTAAGCTGCCAGTTTGGTGTTCAAACAGGTAAATGGCCTTTAAAAACAGTCCGTTACTGGCTAAAAGAAGACAGAAAGAAACAGACACAGCATCACTGACAGAGCCTGACCTATGGCTCAGCCTCTCACCCGTACGGATAATTCATTAAATGAATTCTGGAATTGAATTCACTGCTAAGGCTCAGCTAGCAGCACAGTCATACGATATACAACCATTCAGGGGTAGACAGACTATGTAAAATGTATGTTGTGGTTAAGATGTGTATTTAAAAAGAAAAACTAAAAAAATCAAATCACCATCAAACTCTGGGAAGTAGTCGACCAGGTGAGAATACATGATCTTCTCCTCCAGCAGGTCCTTCTTGTTGAGGAAGAGGATGACGGAGGAGTTTTGGAACCATGGATATGTGATGATGGTCCTGAACAGAGCTTTACTCTCCTCCATACGATTCTAACACGGGCCAGCGAAGACAGGGAGAGAAAGAGACAGAGGAGGGAAATAAACACAGAGTTAGTCTTTTAAAGTCTTTTGCGCTTGATTCTCACTCAATAAATAAACAGCTTTTATTCAAGGCTCTAACTCCAGGGTGTCCTGCTGTCTCAGGGATGGAAAAATATATATTTTGGGACAGTGTGGGATGGAAGGTAGACTTTGCCTATAAAAAAAAATACAACTGCGATTAAACCGTAACATTAATCTCTGACAGCGCTGTCAGTGTAGAATTGTGAGAGCATACATGATTCAAGAGAGCACATGCACTCTGCCATACACTGACGTGCACACAGCGATAAGATGAACCGCAGCAGTGACATCTGAAAGCAGCGAACCTGTCGCAGCTGTCAGGCAGTTACAATGGCGTCCCAAAGCGGTGGTGGGATTTTACGCTTTCTGGTGTCACCGGCAGCCTAACTGGCACGACGTACCGTAGAAGAGACAAAAATGGGGACAAACTGCAACCACACATTCTCTGTATCTCTGTCTCTCTCTCATTGGAGCATGCAGACTGGTGGCCTCTCACGTGCGCACACGTGCAAACACACCCACAGTGTTTACAAATTCAAAAAAAGAAAAGAAAATGGTGACAATGTTTATGTAAATGTAAGAAATATTCATATAAAATGTGAGCTTATTTATAATCTAATCATTTCCATCATGTTTTGTTGTCACAGAAATAATTTTAATGTAGATAAACAGTTCACAGTTATAATTGTGAGCATTTACTTCAGGATGGTTTAAATTGTATTTTCAGGACAGTGGTGAAAAAGTTAAGAGTCCTCGTTTTATCATTTCTGGCCTGTGCACCGATGCATATACTTTTTATTTTGAGGATTATCCCAAAAACAGTCTTTGGGTTAACATTCAGCTAGCACCTGGACACTGAACAGACCTTTGTGTGTCTGAAACGCTGCCAAAGCAGTGCTTTAAACTAAAGTGCCCACCAGTTACTTTTTTTTTTTTTTTTAACCTTTATTTAACCAGGAAGTCTCATTGAGATTGAGATCTGCTGTACAACATTACTGGTGGTGAGTCTGTGAATGTGAGAAAGTTCAGCCCCTTTTTCCTAGTTTTAGCAGCTGCTTCAGTCAGAGGGGGCGTGACCTGTGTATTTTTTTTGCCATTTAAACATATATTGATATAAACATGTAAATCACATCACCAGTACTTCCTTCTTCCACCTAAAGAATGTAGCTCATCTCCGCCCATCACTTTCCCCCACTGCTGCTGAAACTCATGCCTTCATCACATCCAGACTTGACTACTGTAACAGCTTTTTTTTTATGGTGCACCATCCAAACTCCAAAATAAACTCCAATAAATCCAGAACTCTGCTGCTCGTCTGCTCGCCCATTCCCAATCCAGCTATCACAACAGCCCTGTACTCTAGAGCCTCCGCTGGCTCCCTGTCCCACAACGCATCCAACTCAAAGTCCCTCTCCTCACTTACAAAGCCCTCCATAACCTGGCCCCTTCCTACCTCACTGACTTGCTCCACCACCACACTCCTCTGATGCCAACCTCCTGACTCCACCACTCAGAACCAAGCCCAACCTGGGGGAACAGAGCCTTCTCCATAGCTGCTTCCTCTGTCTGGAACATTCTTCCCAAACACATTCAAGACTCTCCCGATGACTCTCCCGGTGTGAATGATGTTGTGTGTATTTTATTGTCTATTTTGTGATACGTTTTTAACCAATGTAAAGCGTCTGAGTACCTTGAAAAGTGTCCTATAAATAAAATGTATTGTTGTTAATATAAGTATTATATTTAAAGACACTTAGAAGACTGAGCTGAACAGGGCTAAACAACAATGACCGGCAAAAACCAGAGATTTCCAGTTTAATAAACACTTCTGTTTTTGGTGGAAGGACAGGGGGACTCTGGACTTGTGGCATAATAAAGGACTTAAGAAAATGAAAGTAAGAGAGTCTATTTAGGAAAGAAACAAGAAATTAGCAATAATAAAATTGCAGCAAACTTAAACTAATATTTAATTTCTCCTCAAAAACAAATACATGAAGAAACAAAACTGTTTTACTTAAACCTGCAATCACGTTACTTTCACATTTTATATGATTGCTAAGATTGTTGCTCATTGTTTTGTGAAACCCTCCGTAAATGCACAAACAGAAGATGTTGATAGGTTGTATTTGGATATTTTATGTTTGTATATTTTTCAGACAAACTGCTTTTTCTGACACAAAACTTCAGCTCACTAACAGGGATGGCCCGTAGCAGGATGGCATCAGTTGGAAGGCAACACTTAAAGTGGATACAGGGTATTATAGTAACGAATGAAAAACAGTCAGAGGACTGTCTAAACAACCCAAAAAAGTTGAATAAGACTCCCTGTTAAGTGATCCAGGCACGTTTCAAACATAAAATTTCTCCCTCCAAAGAAAACTGTCCAGCAAACATAAAGAGTGAAGTTGGAAACCTCGTGTAAACTGCTAAAAGCTGAGAGCTGCTGTCAAACATGACTCCTCTTCCTCTTTCTGATCTTTACTCCTCGCCAGCATCACTCCCACAGTTTAGTCTAAGCAAGTCATAATATGATCCCAGACAGATATGACCCGATGAAATTAAAGACGTTTGAAAACAATCCTGTCAGGCTCCGACTGGTCTGAAGGGTCAAAGTCTTGGTCTCCAGTCTGTCAACACGCCGGGATAATCTCTGAAGTCTGTGATGCCTAACTGCTGCCCGGCCTTGGCTCAGCTGTCAACCATTCAGAAACAGAGCTCGGTGAGAGCAGCAAAATGTTCCAGTGGGGCCTACCACCTGTGACCATGTGACACATTACCAGCAAATACACAGGAACCTGCAGAAAATGAAAAGATATTCCCATCCTCGTGTGTTCACTAAGGTCCCACGTCTGAGCAGACCCAGTGAAGATAAAGTACTGTGTGTGTGTGTGTGTGTGTGTGTGTGTGTGTGTGTGTGTGTGTGTGTGCGTGCGTGCGCGCGCATTAACAAACTGTTGTCAGTGCAGACAAACATCGACTCTGTTGATCATGAAGCTGTAGGGATGTACAGCAGATATAGAGTCAAGCTGGCAGCTGGGTCTGGATTATGAAACCCGGTCATCATGTGACCAGGTCAGAGAAAGGGTCTGTTGTCAGGAGAGGAGCAGAGGGCGTGCAGGAGCTGATCACATTAACTTTATTAGTGCTAATTCTATCTGAACAGTCAGAGGGGACGGGGCCGACCATGTAGATAAAGTCAATATATGTAAAGAGACAGAAGTCGTCTTTGTAGAGAGACGCATCAATAATCATGACCGTGTGTGTGTGTGCAATCTATGTGTGTATACATGCTGGTGTGCCCTCAATAAACTCAACAAACCCCTCTGACACATCTAGTTTCTTCAATCCAGAAACATTTTCTGTATGGATGTGACATATGGTCGTTGAGCTGAATACAAAAATCAGAAAACTGCATTTTAACAACACAATTCAATTAAATTTAAATTAAATGTTATGCTATAATGTAGCATAATGTTTTGCGGGAAACGCAACAAGTTGTGAACACAACAGTGACGAGTTATGACCTTAGAAAGTTGATATGGTGACTGTGTTAGCAAACAGTTGCTTATTTCTACATCCAGCTGACAGAGACCAACATGAGCATTCACTGGAGTCGTGTTTCGTGTAAGTCCAATATTCACTCTGCTTTTAACTTTGTTTTGGTCGCCACCAACTCCTGAGAGAAATATCTGAGGGTGGATTCACAAACATTTAGAGAATACTCTCATATCTCATTTCCACCATCATGGATCGAGTTCTGTTCCGGTTCCCGCCCTAATTTTCATGATTAATTCAGTCTACAGCACAGAAACACTAACGTTTTCCTCCAGTTTTAAGTTCATCTGAACTTTGAGGTGTGAACAGAAAGAGGACTGAGGTCCCATCAGAGCTTAAGTTGACCAGAACTGAGTCCTCTTACAAATGAACTGACAATGTGAACACAAAAATGTTGGTCCATTTTAAGAGGACTGAGTTCGTTTCATTTAAAAATAACTATTGTGGTAACACTCTAACTTAGCCTACATCTTTTTTAGCAAGGAGTCTGAGCTTAGGAGTGATCTAGGAAAACTGTCAGAGCAATTTTTACCCTAGTGAGGACGTGTGGTTGACACTACTGCTCGGTATGATGCATTCTTTTAAAAGATGTGATTGGTTGCCCATTTGTGAGCCTGCAAGGTGTGGACATCCAGCGTGAATAAAATGAACTGCATCACAACATGAGGCTGTGAAAGGGCTCTAATTGTTAGTGTGATCACTGATGACGAAGGTTGAGGCAGACTCAAGTCATCCAGTTGTCAAATATCTCAGTGTTGTGATCATTTTCATTTCTGGCGATACTGTGCTGGGCGGGAGATGTGAGCAAATCTCTAATGAGATCAACCGCAAACATCATCCCTGCACGATCTAATCTGTAGCGTTTCATTAACTCACTGTCATTCAGCTTTATCTCTACTTGCTCTTTCTCTTTTCACCATTTTCTCCTCTGCTTACGTAACGTTCACCTCAGGAGCTGTCTTCAGGGCAGATGTTTTATGAATAACTTTGATCTTTACCAGGACCTAGTCTTAACTGGGAGGGGAAATTCTTAGAAAGCACAATTCTAGGAATGTTCTTAGAATTTCGTCACTACCAGCAACTCTTTGTACTATGAAGCCTTGTGAATATGGCCCCTGGCTCCTTAGCTGCTACGTCTCTCCACTGTGTTCACCAGCTGGTCGCCAACTTTGTCAGCTGTTTGCTGAGCAGGTAGCTTTAGTGTACAGTACATCTGAGCTTTTCCCACTGGAAACAGCTGTCGCCTGCTGCTGGAAATTAGGTTGAATGTCTGCACTTTAAGTTTGAATATTCCAGTTCAGCTGAAGGAGATTCAACAGGCTGTTCAAGGAGCTGAATTAAAAGAGTGAAACCTTGCAAATGTCTTGTGATGGCATGTTCAAATTCAGCATTTATTATAATTATTAAGGGATAAAATGCTGAGTGTCAACTAAACTGCACAGAAATCAAAACTCTTTCTGTGTCGTCTCACCTCGTTGTCGGACTCCACAAGGACCTGGTCGTACTCGCTGAGCGCCACCAGGAACATGATGGAGGTGACGTTCTCAAAGCAGTGGATCCACTTCCTCCTCTCTGACCTCTGACCGCCCACATCCACCATCCTGATTGGAGCACGATGGGATGAGATGGATGGCCGCCACACAGGGGGCAGAAAAATTCACATAAAAGAGGAGAAATGACAATTAGTGCTACATCTATCACCCAGAGTCTTTAGATCTTAAGTGTTTAGCTGTTTAACCTTAGAATCAGCGGCACATAAGTAAGCATGCATGTCAAATACCATCTCAGAGTATCTTTTGTTAAAGCCTGAAGCCATCACCCAAAAGATCTGTGTCACTTAAAATGGGAATATGATTTTTTTTAAGAGGAAAATGTCAGTGCAAAGAGGCGTTCATCTTGTAAAATGTCTCCTAAAGCTTTGTATCCAGTTGTGGCCAATCAATATATTTCAAGGCCAGTTTGGAGTCACTACTGTTACTACTTGACTACTCGAACAATATCTTCTGAGTCTAGCACAGTTCAAGCCAAACACCTCTTCTGCACTGAGAATACAAACTGAAGAAACGTGAACAGAGCATCTGCAGCGTGAATCACAGAGAGGACAGAGCTTCTCTACGGTGGACCAAAAATAACTACAAGGAAGTGTATGTGTGTGTACAAACAATCCCACCCTGCTCTCCTTTCTCTGAGAAGTAGATGCAGGAGAGTCCGTTTAGGGGATGGAGAGTAGTACAAAATATTTTCTGGTTTTGAAGCGCCACCAAAAAGGTGCTAAATGCGAGAGGTATGAGAGAAGCGACAGATAGAGGTCAAAGGAAGACAAGGGGAGTGGTCGACGGGAAAGAGATGAGGATGTGTTAAAGAATTTAGAAATCAAGGAAGAAACACTGAAAGTCCCCATGAAACAGGTTCTAGTGTCTTTAACGCCAGTACTGTGATGCATTTCCCAGTGAAACGGAATATGTGAGCGATGTTCAATTACAAGAGGGACTTGGCCACTAGGACTAAAAAGTGGGCAGACATAAGCCCAGTTCAAACCAATGATTTGCGACGAGACGAAACAGTTGCAACGGTGTTAGACGGTGGGTCACTGCTACTGCTCGCTGTATGTGCTTATGCCCCCTAACACACACATTTTCAGCACTGCTTCCCTATATTATTGTGGCGTATTGATTATGAATACAGTCCATCTGATGCTCATTTATGTTTTTCGCCATTTCATCACTACTACAAATGCAGCTGTAGCCAGTATCTCACTATGACTATCCTCATTCATATTTTAAGAAGTTACAAATTGTATTCAGCCACAAAATAAGCCTGAAAATCTGGAAATCAGAACGACAGCGCAAAGAGTTGTTGCATAGAGATGATACACCATCTCATGTAGTTGCATTTGTGTGAACCAGCAGGTTTTAAGAACGTTGCAGAATGGCGCATTGCAAGTAAGTGCATGTTTCAACTCGTCTTGTCGCAAATCTTTGGTCTGAACTGGGCTTTAGAGTTCAGCCTTATACGGAGCTATAGCTGAGTCTGCTGCTGAGCGGACTGTTGGCTCCACACACATCTCCCTCATCGTTAGATCAGGAGGACGACGAGGGAGGAGGAGGAGGATCTCAGCCACGTTGTTTAGGAAGTGAAAATGAAAGGTATGCCCAGTGATAACCAAAAACACGTCTCTTCCTAGCTCTCTCCATTTTGCTCTGTGGCTTATGTCACTAGCTAACAAGCGGTGCAGTGCAGTTTTAACTGACCGTTGCGGCTAGCCATCTTGAACTGTTGTAAACGCTCCTGACTGCAGGATGAGTCAAACATTTCAAACTGTTTTGCCCTGTTTTACAGAATTCTCTTTCTCGAGACTGATTTTTGGCATATAACAGGAGATAAACGATTAATTAATGCAGGGACACAGATTAAAACTGGGAAAATGTAACTTTTAACAACATGGGGACTTGAATGCAAGAAAGCTTTGATTCTGGGGTAGGAGACATGGATCGACTTATTGTTAAACTGGTTATAAAGTCCACATTTTGTCTGGATGACAGTACAGTAGTACAAAAAACAAGCAAGGGTAAATCGATTCAATTAAATTAGACTGAAGAGCTAAAGCTGCTGGATAAGAATCCAAGTGGGGCAGAAAGGGCAAATGTTTTATCTGTCCATTTAAACTAACTAAACAGCTACAGAAAATACAAACTCAGACAATGAATCAGTGTCCCTACACATTTTGATGGACAAATTTCCAAACTTTTCAATGTCTTTTCAAGGACCCATAATAAAGATTTTTTTTACTTGCCCCACTTACCCGGCGTTTTTCAAACATATCAGATTCAAACATAATTTCCGCTATCTGGCATACATGAAGGGAGAGACGAACCCAGGGAGAAAATGACGAAACGTATGTGGTGTCACAAATCAATGCAAATTAAAGCTTCATTAAGTCGACAGCTAAAGACAATTAATTTGCTGTTATGTTACATCACATGGAAGGTTATCAACGTAAGATTATTGTAACTATTCCCTTATGAACAAAGTTCCATGACTATTCCAGGCCTGGAAAATGTGACTGTGAAATCCAATGACTTCTCCAGGTTTTCATGCGCGTGGGAACCCTCCCGATGAATTAAACTCTAACTGCACTCTTCAGACAAGTCAGTTTAAGTCTCTATTCCAGACAATTTCAGCCAGTATCATTAAAAAGCTAGACAGCGAAACTTTGATCACACATCACAAAGGTGAACTCAGTCAGTGAATCTGCTCGAAGTAAGGAGGGCATTGATAAATGGAGTCCTCCAGAAGAGCCAGCCTAAAATAAAACTCCTTCACATCAGACGACCTCCTTTTTTTCCCCTAGCAAGGATGAGTGACCTACTTAGTACGATAAGCTCTCCTATGCTGGGTAAGCCAAGTGAAATGACATTTTCTGTGACTTCAAAAGCCAATTAAAAGAGAAGGAAGCAAACCTAATGGAGATGTGTGTCTATGAAAGGCTTCCTTGTTGCAGCTCAGGCCCTGTCAGCAGCAAGCAGGGGCAGCGCAATGCCACATGTGCTTGTTACTATACATGAGTTTGAGGCTGAGGAACTTCTCATCCTGCATCAAGTATCCTCCATGTTTAATTACAGGAATATAACGACTCATTCTCATAAATCACTAAACTAAGAAACCTCAATAATCATGCTCTTCTTCCAATAAAACCTGACACCTCACATTTATTCCCACTTCATATTCGCATTTTCAGTCTCTTAACACAAAATTGATGTCATTGAGAGCATGTAGTGATTCACCATCAGCAGCGCAGCCAAGCTGAGTAGAGCCTATCGGCAAGCTGCAGCAGAGCTGCTGGGAACCTCTTCAGCACAACCTCATTGCGAGCAGAGTTATTTCTAGCCTTGCCAAGCGTAGGAGGGGGCTGACATGATGGCTTCCTATCGATTCGCACTCTTCTGTAATCGCTCTTGTTCCCTGGGTCCAACTCTATCTCCTCATCTTCTCTCTCTCTCTTTGCAAGAGGAGGAGGAAGGGAAGCTGCTCTACGTATTGGTGGCGGGTCCTAAGACTGTCTCTGTGCCAAGTCCTGGAGGCTGTGTGTCTGGACTAAGCAGAAAAACTAGGAGGGACTATTATGTAAAAACACTGCCTTTAAGAAGTTTGCATGTTTAGAAACTGAAAGACTCATAGAGAGCCTCGTCAATCTAGGCTTGTTTTCATTGTGCCAAATTAGACTGCAGTTAAGTGATAATACAGATGCATGTAGGGGCTAGGGCTACATCTAAGAAGTTAGTTTCAGTATGATTTATTCTGCCAATTTACCCGTTTAGAAATGATCGAAAAAACAACACAAAATGCCAAAATACTCAGACTATTATCATTATTAAAAAAGCAGCAAATTCTGATAATGGTGGAGTAATGTGGGAATGTTTTTAGTTTTTCTTGATAAACTGCTTGAAGTTACAATCCTTAAGGTTTCCCTGAAATCGAACCCCATCTTTGACACCATTTATGGTCTGCACTTTCTGCAATAGCCATTCCATGTATTTACATTTAGTAGTTACCTCTCTGTCTGGTAGTTTTTATAGTTAGTTCCTGCGCTGGATTCAGTTTGCTTGCGTACACACGACGGATTCTCAGGAACAAATGCACGCATGTTATCCAGCACAGGTGTTATGTATGAATATGGTTATTAGGGTGAGTTCAGTCAATCTACATTTTGCCAACAGGTGAGTTCAGGTATGAAGTAAAATGACGGTATTATAGAGTATATTATGTATATGTATTATGTAATATTAAGAGTTGTAACATTAGAAATGTGGGCTTTTACATAGAAAGGCTTCACTAATTTTCAAAAAAAGAAATAAAAAAAATTGATTAATCAAATTACATAAAATGTTTGTAGTAGTCAAATTAAGACTCTTTAATGACTTTTAAGGCCTTGTTATTGCAACATTGAATTGAAGTCATTTTAAGACTTTTTAAGGGCCTATAGACACCCTGTACTAAGTGCTATATTGTAGGCAACTGGACTTGCTTGAGTTTCTTGAAGACGTTTCACCTCTCATCAAAGAGGCTTCTTCAGTTCTAACAGACTGACGTTTGATTGGTCCAAGTGAGAATGGGTGGTAGGGATGTATTTACAAAATGCAGTCTTGGGATCCCTTCCCAGACGACTTAACACCCATTCTCACCTGGACCCATCAAACACAAGATGGCCAGGTGGACCAACAACTCACATGTGACCTTAACAACTGTGTAAGGGTTCACACCCACACTGAGTTTAATACCTGTGACTCCACATTAGTCCGTCAGAACTGAAGAAGCCTCTTGGGGCATCGGTGGCTTAGTGATAGAGCAGGCGCCCCATGTACAAGGCTGTTGCCGCAGCGGCCCGGGTTCGACTCCAGCCTGTGGCCCTTTGCTGCATGTCACTCCCTCTCTCTCTCTCCCCCTTTCACACTTGTCTGTCCTATCCATTAAAGGCAAAATGCCAAAAAAATATCTTTAAAAAAAAAAAAAAAAAAAAAAAAAAAAGAACTGAAGAAGCCTCTTAAATGAGAGGTGAAACGTCTTCAAAAAAGTTCTGTTGCCTACGATATAGCACTTATGATTATGATGGCCTGGATGACTGAGAATCTTTACCGGCTGTATTAAGCTATTTCTAATGCAAATGAAACATCTAACCTCCACTTTTGTACATTAAAAGCATTCCACTGGCAAAAAATGTGGTTTTTATTGTGAAGCAGCAACAGGAAATGCATGTATTTCTTGCCAAGGTTAGTGCTAACTGGGAACATTCATTAACAAAAAAATGAAGTTGCTCAAGGGGGGCTTGCTGTAGTAAACTACATGCGCTACCATAGCAACCACAAGCGTCCACAAATAATCCAGGACTAAAATCTCAAGGAATACAACGTTAAACCATTAATCATTTATCTAAAGAACTAGTTGTAGAATCTACTTGAACACTGAATGTACTGCAAATAACAGAATGGATTGGGGACATATTCACACAAAAATGGGGACATAAACATTGTTGGAGGTGATACATGAACATGTTGACTAACACTTAGGATGGCCTTTTAAAATTAATACAAAACACTAGTAGGGTACATAACTGGGGTTAGTCGAAGTAGTGTAGTTCTCATTCTACCTGAAAATGATGCTTTGCAAGTCGAAAGGGTATTCTATGATCCCAGTGGTTGGGATTCGAACCCTAAGCACGTCCTGTTGGGTTGGTAGATAGGACGGTTCAGCAATACGATCCAGATCGCTTAGATAGCTAGAGACAGGAAGAACAAAGACAGAGAGAGAGAGGGAGGAAAGAGAAAGTGAAGCATAACAGCAGATACAGCAGACCCCCACCAAAAGCAAGTGGATCAGTCCAGATGTAACCACAGAAAACCATTTCCAAAGAGTTATGAGGGGATTAGGTGATGTTTCGTGCCTCAACCCCCAAATTTTCTCTTAGAAATGTAGCTTCATCCTTGATGGCAGCTCCCAAAGACAAAACATTCCTCAATTTTATCTCTGGCTCCCCCTCACACTGCTCACTGTGAAAGTTTAGGGAAGCAGGACCTTTTAACTTGACTCCAAAACGATGATTTAACACTCAAAAGGCCAACTTTCACTGCCTGGGTGAAAATAAAAATGACTGCCCTTCTAGAGAGACGAGGAGGGTTGGGGCCTGTTCTTGAGGCTGGTCTTTGAGAGTGTACCATCAGGGATGTGTTAAAGTGCTGAGCCCTGCTGTGCAGCACAGGCTAGATGGAGATAGCGGCATCGACGGTTTCCAACTGGCTGACCAACTGTCAAGCAGCCGGCCAACCAGTGACATCAGCGGCAGCACTTGACACCAGTACCTGAAGATAATATTCTCCAGGTCAAATGGGTACTCAATGATGCCGGTGGTGGGCACTCGAACCCGCAGCACGTCCTGCTGAGTGGGCACGTACCCCGCTGTTGCTATTCGTTCTAAATCATTAAGGTAACTGTGGAAGGGGAAGGAACATATGACAAAGAGGTACATGGAGGCAAACACCAGTCACAACAATAGGAGACTACATGCACATGTATATGCAAACAACAGACAGACAACTGCTTTCTGTCAAAAACACAATTACAAAACATTTAAACAAACTTACATATAGCTAGCAGTTATCTCTATAAACAGATAAATGCATATGAATGCAGAGTCTGAAGATTTTGGTACTGGAAGCACTTTGGTTTCAGTTTATAATCCAAATAGTATTGACCAATGACGTTTGAGTGGGCTTTGGTTGCCTGCAGGTTAACAGTCCATGTGGAGAGCAAAAGAGGCAGACCGCATTAGCCGAAATGCAATCTAGGAACCTGTGCCAATTGTCTGATGACGCTTTAGCTCTTTACATTTATTAGATGAGTCAAAATGGCCGCTAGTGGAGGTCTTTGCCCAGATATCTATTATCTGGATAGCCGATGGCTGCACTGGTCGGATATAGTGGTAGTTGCCCCCAGAGGCTAGGTCATTGTTAGACCATGAGTTCTGAGACTGAGCCAGCAGTAGCTCATAAACAAATACATTCGCACATACAAGCATAATCTTTAGTTTTCTTCCCCATCCTAACCTGTCAAAGGAGCCACATTAGTCTGACATAGATTAATGCAGGTTGGATATCATTAGCACCTGTTTATAAACCTGCCAACATTCCCTCGACTCTCTCCATCTGTCTGATCCCTGTTCCCTTCCTACATTTGAGTGCGTGTCAACACAAGTAGATAACTGTCATGTCTTTGATTTTATTCCTCATGTTGATACTATGGAAACCATTATTTACTTATTTCATCACATTGATTTAGATATCTTGGAGGTCAGAGTTACACAGCGATACTGTTTCTCCACTTCTACACATCAAGTAAATAATCAGTCAATTCATTAGATTAATAGATCACAGACGTACTATTTGGTTGAGTCAGAGAGCTGGTACTCTCTCCTGCGATCATAGGCCTCCTGGATGCCAGGGTCAGCCCACAGCATCTTTATTGCACTGATGTACGGCTGCTCGAATGATGAAACCTTCTCCACGTCCACCTCGCGCACCACCTGGGCATTATTCTGGAGAAACAGGAAGCAAAGCAAAAACACACACTTTTAATAAAACATGTCAATTTAGTAACTGAGGACTTAAACCTGTGAGAAATGGGAGCGAAAACAAAAGTGTTACACTTCAGTTTACAAACATATCCCCACTTTCAAACCACCCTTCTCTAGAGTACATAGTATGTAAACTAGATCTGCTGATAATGATGAGTTATCAGAGGCCATGATTCACTCTACAAGAGCAGTTTATCTATCTATGATTTATTTGAATGTGATGTGCATGAGACTAAATGGACGTGAATGTTCATTCATGAATGAGAATTCACACTGACAGAGTGGCCTCTGTTGCTTGGATGAAGTCATATGCATTCCTGTACATGTTGCTGAACGTCTACCCAACTACGATAGTTTAACTATTAACATTTATTTGTTTTTTTAACTTTTTCATTTTTGGATGTTCCATGTCTGTCCCTGGCTCACTGCCAGTATCTCCTCCACACACACTTATTTGCTATTGGTTAATGCTGTCACTTCTAGGTATCGTTTAAAAAAATTATGATAACAGTACCTTTAAAATGATGCTGATAGCAACTGAGTACTTCATACCATACCCATAATGTGAATGGAGTGGTGTGTATACAAAAAATTAATAGCCTGGGCTTTTATTTGCTTCAGTCACTAGAGGATAGAGATGGAGAGATGGAGAGAAAGAGCGTTACGACACTTGCGTAACGGCTTCCGAGGATTATGGCATCGACACAACACCTCTCTTTATCCTCTTGAAACAACCTTGCTGACCACTGGAGATGTTAGACACTGATGTTTTGCTGAATCTGGTGACCAAAGAAATTGAAGCTGCAGCTGCTGCTGAGTGTGAGTTTTGCACTAAGGAAATTTGTGAGGGTCCACCCGGCCGTTCATGCACAGCAACATGGCTAACTGTTAGCATCACAAGGCTTTTCATTGTTGGGTTTGGCAACAGAGTTTGTTGGGACTGTTTAATGGCTCAATGTTGGACATTAGCTGGTGCTGTAGCTGTATAGCTTGTGCGTACCAGGCAGCAGTAAACCGACTGTTACCCAGGAGGACAGTGGCTCTGAAGATGGCTGCAGGAAGTCCGCTGATCAATCAGGACTAGACCGCCGGCGCAAAAAGGATTGACTGCAGATATAGTTTGTCTGGAGATGTTTCGATACTACTTGGCACAGAGTTCTTTCAGTTGATGCCCTAAAAGGTATCGAGTAGCAATACCCAACCCTAGTGACTTTGCGGATCAAAGTTCACTGGAGTCGAACTTCATGCGATGAGAATATGCGAATATACTTTGCCACATGAAGCGAAGTTTTATTCGCCTCTTTGCTCGCAGTAAATAGAAGTGAAGGGGAGAGGAATATTCACCAATGTTAATTTTGCCCATTTTTGACCATACCCTTAAACTACTTCGACGACTCTAGCTCAGTTAAGGCAAGATCATTTAATCTTGAGTCAATCAATTAAAAGAAGTAATGTTATAACAGTATTTTTTTGCAATACAATTGATGCAGCAAAACTAGAGCCTACATTACACACAATGCAAACAGACAATTGACAGTTAGGTCAAAAAGTCCAGTGTGTCATGCTAGCAGCAGTTAATGTAGCCTCAGGCAGGGATTAGGAATGGACTACAAAGGTCTGGTGACCTCCCTTCTTTCTAACTGCACACTGTGAGGCTGTGTTTTTTAAGATTTGATTGACAGTAACCAAACACAACTGACTCTCACATCAGGTTCTAAACCAAACATTTTGTAAATTCTGATTCCGTTTTAAGAATTATACAACATGTATAACTATATAAGAAACCAGTGAGTATATAATAACACATCACACACCAATTTTTTACCCCAGCAGTACACACCTTGTTCTGTTCGTACTTGTACGGGATCTTGAGGGTCTCAGTTGCTCGAATCATGGCCTGCATTGAGGTGAAGATGTTCTGGTAGACCAGTTTGGTGAAGCCCTTCTTGTCCTCATCTGTGTAGCCTGACCCATGGATTATTCTCATCTGCTTGATGAAGGTGCTCTTGCCGCTCTCTCCAGTACCTGACAGGGACACAAAGACGACACAGTAGGTCAGCCTATTAAAGGCTCATAAATGAATGCAGGATCTTGCAGGCCGTGTGAAAAAGGACAGTTGCATTCCCACCCTTGACATGACCCAGGAACAAACAGAAAGTTATGTATCATACAGTGCTGACCTACAACTGGAGGGAAGAGAAAAAAAAACCGACAGGGGTAATTATTGTGTGCAGATAATTTGGGAAAAATAATGAGAATGTGATGTGTGAAACCTCCTCAAAGAGGCAAACAATGCTAGAAATGAACAGCAGTACAAATGTGGCGGTAATGGATTCAAACATTTGTTTAAAAAATGGGTCAATACCACAATACCCAAAGACGAGCTCTAATCCTTCCATCCTCGTCTGCCCAATCAATTAAAAATATAATAGGCTGCTTGGTGTAGTAGCTCTTTGACATTAATGTAGTCAGCAAATGTATTTCTGAAAGCAAGCAAGCAGTAAGTAATTTGTAGTCTTTTTATAACTCATATTTCCATGCAATATGCTGGTTGATCGGTGCAACAGGCTCACCCTGTCTGTCCACCTCCATCCTGCTTCTGATACACAACGCAGTGAAGGAATCCACACCATCATGCCCTCGGGCAGAGGGCCAGACCTCAATGCCAACTCAGTCTCTGTGTTTTACCAGTGCAGGCTGCTCAGCTGAACTTGTCACTCTTCCATATGGTGCAGACTCCTGGTTAAATCACTTTTTGTTCAATAAAACTGTAAAATCCTCTGTATATGTTTAAAAAATTAACTCACACTATCCTCATGTGTTACTTACTAGATAAAAGTTTAAACCAGAAGCCTAAAATATACATGGACAAATGTTTCTGTCCCTTATTGTGGTTTAGCCATTGTTTCTTGTCCTCTTGGTTTTAGTGTCCCGAGATGTGCACTGTAACAATGAAATGTAATCACCGTTTTGGCCGTGGTTACCACAGAGGCCCAACTGACAGTCTGGGAAAGTGGAGCGGCCCAGAGTAACCACATGAGGGCTGCATGGCTCACCTCAGCTCAACAAAGAGCTGGGTAAACCGAGTTCACGCCTCCAATTTTGTATCACAGTGACCATGCATATGCACATGTGCCATAAACACACAGAAAGGCCAAGTCATAGAGAAGGAAACTTGCTTGCACATGCAGATAAAGAAATCCACAGATCCCTCTCAGACACACTTAACCTCTCCTTGAGAGCTCTCACAGCAGGTTCTGTATCTTTATAAGGACATATATTTAGTGACAAAGGGGACGCCACAGTCAGGATGAAAGCATCAGACATTTGTATACTGTGGTTATCAACCAAAGAGGAACATTCAAAAGACAAGGCAGGCAGCAGTCAAACCCAAACTCACCCTCTTGTTTCACTATGCAGCTCCCTCTCTAGAGCAATGCTTCTCTCTTCCACCCCCATTCCACCACCTATTTTCTTCCTCTACAACCCTGCTTGAGCTCTCCACCACTCATCTCTCCATCTCACTTCTCCCAACATTCACGTCTGAGTCACCGCAGCTTCAGCAACACCTATTCTCTCTGATTTCTACCTTTCACTCTCATCTTTGTTCCAATGATCTCAACCAGAGCTGCTGCTGATAATTATTTTCACTATGAATTAATCTCACTTTTTCTACTGATCGTTTAGAATATTTGTTAAAACGTATAAAGTGCCCATCACAGGTTAAAACAAACCATGGTGAATGCTTCATAAATTGCTGACAGTATGTTGTTTGAACAGTCACAAAACCAAAACACATTTGGTTTAGTAATGTTAGGTATTTTATGGACATTTTAATGTTGAATGTAATCTAAATAACCGCATGCGTGTGTGTGAATGCACTCATGCATGTGGACACCCAGTGTAGCATAAACACAACTGCGTGCACCTCTATTTACCTATATATTAAGTCCTTAAGAGCAATGATCCAAACAGCAGTCCCTGTTTGAGCACAGGATCTACAACATGAATCTTTGTGCCCTTTATCCTTGAAGTGAACTGAAGCTCGTTGCTGGCACGCGAACCAACGTAAGAGCCTTCAGCCATGCTAGTGGCTCTGTGAAGCTGAACATGGGCAGTTTTTTTGTGCTAAATGCTAACATCAGCATGCTAACATGCTAACAGTGACAATTCCATTCAATCAAATAGAACTTTATTTATCCAGAAGGTAATGAATGCTTCAAATTATGATAACAGTAAGTACAGTAACCACGATTGTAACAATTCACAACAAGTAACAACCAGTGGGTTCCCTGGGTCAGGGTCACTCACTGGGCCCAGTTTTAGAACAACAGAGTGTTAAATATCTGACAAAATATACAAATATACAAGACAGAAGTGTTTTCTATGAGCAAAAGCAAAAACCACTGCCTAATAAATAAGTACGATAAGTACAAGAGTTACTAAAATAAACTAAAATGGTGGGAAAAAACAGACTGCTCTTGGTAATCAATAAGATATTGAATCTGATATAACAACTAGAAGTAGTATTGCACATGACCATGACAATGCTAACTTGCTGGTGTTTAGGAGGTATAATAACTACCATGTTCTCCATGTTTGGTGTGTTACATGTAGCATGCTAACATTTGATAATTAATGATAGACAGTAAAGCTGAAGCATATGGGAGGGTCATTCATTTTAATATTTAGTCATAAACCAAAGTATTAGACACATTTAAATTTTGGAGATTCACTCAAAGTCACAAACATCAACTTCATGGTGGTGCTGGAGGACACACATACATCCTTGGTTGTTAAGATCTCATGTGCACCCAAAAGTGCCTCTCTCATTCAGCCAAGCAAGAACAGATCCATTCAGCGCTCGTGTGCGAAAGACTCCGACATATTTCCTGCGTTGAATGTCCGCAAACAGCAGCGGAGTTGTACTGGTCGCATTGAGTCTGAGAGCATACTGTACGTATGTGTTTGTGTGTGCGACAGAGAAAGGACGAAGCGGAGCTGTTGATGATCAGACCTGCTGTTTATTCTCGCATGCTGATCTTAACTCCTGTTTTCCCCTGGGTATCTTAATAATACGTTTAACCAACTAGTAATTCTGGTATCGACGAACAAGGGTCACAAAGTTCAATCGTTGTGTCAACTAATCGCACACCCCCCTATAAATTGTGCAGTTAAAATAACTTGACGTTGACTTTTGGTTTCACATGGGACACAGTGGTTTCCTGCGGTGAAAGTCCTGTGACTGTTTGACCCATCCATCACCCCGCCCTGCGCAAACTTTCTCGCTCATTATACTTTGTCAGTTGCTCAAAGCGTACAATACCAATGCGGCCCAGTGCGTCTCATACAGACGCAAGCACCAGCATTTGTGGAGTTAAAAGGAAGAACGCCCCACTGGGAACCATGACTATCTGGACAAACTTTTTAGACAATCCATCTGGGTTTTTTTTTTTTGTTATTTTTTTTTTTTTTACTTTGGTCCAGATTTTCAATCTGGACCAAAGTAGTGGACTGAAATGGTGGAACAACCGACATAACCATCCACAGAGCCAAACACTGATGTAACATTTTGTGGACTGAAGGGAACACATGGTAGACTACAGCCTCCGCTGTCCAACAGTGCAAATTAACGCTGAAAGGAAAGTTGCACAACCGGCCATACCAAATTGGGGAAAAAGGAAACATTAAAAAACAAACAAACAAAAACACAAACACGAGTGACACTGATAATGTTTACAGACACACTGTGTAGGCAGAACTGTAGTGGCCGATTAGATAATGGAATGTGCTCTGTGTGATAAAGTCCAGCTGGTATTCCCAAGGCAAAGTAGTCGAAATGTCTTCCAAGCAAGACGAGAGTCAAGTTTGACTGTCGCTGACAGAAGACCACGGTCGAGTGTACAGTGAAGGAGTGCCCTGAGCAGCGCCTGCCCTCCAACCAGACAGGATCTTTCACTGCGGAAAGCAGGTCAGGCAACATTGGAGTTTCCCCTTCAGACAGAGTATGTCTTTGAGAGAGGGACATAAATAGCAATTGTCAAGACACAGCAGTGGAGAGTTCACTTTCTCATTGACTAAAGGACTGAACAGAAGGGAGGGGTGTTAGTGGGATGTGAGGGAGTAAGTCAAGAAAAATACCGCGTCTTTGCTTTCATAATTCACAAGCAGAAAAACGGAGTTAATATGGGATAGATACATCAGCTCTGTTGTTAAATCATGTGTGTATGTGTATTCATGCGTATTTTAATTTTCCAAACACACACAACCAGAGGAGAGGGCCATGTCTTGCAGGCATGATCAGCTTAATTCAACAGATCCCATTGTTCTCCTGCCTAACTGGAAAACCCAGCAAAAGCATTTCTCACGAACAAGCTACTGTACATTCACTGGAGCTACTCCTGAGGGGTAATGCTAGTTCCCATGGCAACTCCAGTACTGGACTCATAAATACATGGCAGAAAACACCAGCTGATAGGCCCAGCTGATGAGGCTCCAGTACGTCTCCTCAGAGCTCAGTCAAACATGCAACTTTAGCATGCATTTCTTAATCCCACAATCCTCAGCCAGGACTCTACTCTCAGCCTATGGGAATTAAAATGTTATGAAAGCAAATAATAGACATAAAGACTTGAATCTCTGAGCCTAGGCATCTAATTCTCCTCTGAGTACTGGGAATATGAATTTTCAGTGTTTTCCCTATATGCACCTAACGCTGCTGCTGAAATAGGACAGCTGCTGCCCAATGTTCTTTTTTTTACGAGACGAGAGGAAAGGAGAAGAGAGGAGAGGAGAGGGCTCCATCATATCTCTTTAGAAACTAACATTATATTTTGTGCTATGGACGTTTCATATCCAGGTCAATTCACACACCTGTGAGTAAAGCATATAAATGAGACACTTAGTACTCCAGTGTTAATGTCAGCACAACATATAAGGTACAACAAGCACCAGGTAGATGATGATAATGCAAGCAATGCGGATCACGGATTCAGGATTATCGTTTGCTGAAGAGAAAAGTCCTG